TTTCCTTTTTGGGAGAGCAAGTGACACCCTTACACTGAATAAGGTCTTAATTCCATTGTTTACTAGGCATTTTGAAGATTTTTACCCCTCAGATTCCATACACGGTTCTAGTTCAACAATCTAAACATGAATAGTCCAATCAGTCAGTGGCACTGTCCACCTGTCAGGACATTAATTAGCTAAGATTGGGGGACAGAGAGAAGATTCTTAGGACTGGCAGTCGGCAGAGCCAGTGTGGAAGTACCTGCCTCCCGGTGGTGCCAGGCTGTGCACTCTGCACCAGCAGCACAGTCTATACTACAGTACAGAATTGGTAGAGTCTACTGCAAACACTAATGACTGACTATCTTTGTAATAGGCAGAATCCTGGCATCCTCAAAGCTGCTGCTGCTTTAGATCCAAGAATATGTCACCTCACATGAGGGGGGGAGAAGGCTGTGATAGATATAACTCAGCTAATGATTCTGAAGTAGGAGTTTACTCAGGAAGGCCCAATATAATTTCAATATTTCGGATAAGACAAAGGAGGGGGTTACAGGGAGCCAGAGAGCACAAGACAGGCAAGGGTCTTAGCAAGAATCCTTTCAGAATCCAGCAAAGGAAGAAACCAAGTTGTCCTAAAGAGCAGAGCCCTGGCCAGGAGCTTGATTTCAGTCCCTGAACCTGACCTCAAGGCTCTGCCCCATCCCCCAGAGAGGTGAGATAATAAACACATGTCATCACAGACACTAAGTGTGTAGCAATGCTACAGCAGAAGCTGGAAAAGAAACAGACTCATCTCACCACATGACACAATGATCATATTCTCAAGGAGGCTGGCCCAGAGAAGGCATTAGTAAGACCACTCACACTCCTGTAAGTAAAATCATCTACACACTCACCCTAGAGGTGAGGACCTCACAATCCCCACAATGGTCCTAAATAAGACAATTTTCATTCATGTTTGAGAGTCTCAGCCATTTCAATACATAATAGCATATTTTTCCATAAAAAGATAACTTTTAACTATTTGTTTTAAAATTTGGATTTTTCCACAGGTGCGTCCTCCTCTGTGAGAGGTCATTTGGAGCATGTTCATTTTGTTAACACAAACGTTCTTCTTGTCTCCTTCTACCATGACCACTCCAAGTCCCAGAAACCACCATCCCATCCTTTGCTTCTGTAGGTCTGACCATATTCTACATAGACTTAGAGCCGTGATAATACAGTATTTATCTTTTGGTTTTGGCTTATTTCATTTAGTATGTGCGCACACACATATATCTGCACACATATTCTACATAATAGACCTATGTAAACACACCATGTATCTGATATGTGACATACATGTATACATGTCATATATGTGATAGGTATGAATGATATGTAGCACAATGTGTCAGAAATACAACTGCAGTTAATATTATATTGACTTTATCATACACTTAGGATTTGCTAAGATGGCAGATCTTTGTGTGTGCGTGCCTGTGTATTTTCTTGCATATATATGTGCATATTGCATATGCATGTCATGGTGTGACTTTGGAGATTCTCGACTTCTCCCACTTGGATACTTGGGATTGATCTCAGGGCATCAGGCCTTCCTTGTCAGCAACCACCTTTTCCTGCTGAGTCATTTCATTGTCTCACTCAAAACATTTTCATTTGTGAAATATGATTCAATAATGCTATCAAAATGAAATTTTTGCATTGTTTAAAATCCCAGTTTCACCTCAGGAGAATGAGAATTTACATGAAACAAAACAGAACACATTTTGAGATGGTAATAACAAAATATACTTTGGGATGTGCCTACTCATATCACAACTCCTGTCATAGATGTGTGTATTTAAAAAAGTCTTGACTGAGGATATTCTGCGTGACCACAGATTCACGTCAAATTATGTGCAGATTGTGATAGTTTTTCATTTTCTTCTAAACATGGCAAGATGTCACTAGAAACACATAATACAGGAACTGTTCAGCTCGAAGCCTGAGCACATCAAAGGCTTAGATCCCACTCATGGTAGGCTGCTTTCTTTATTAGGTGATGGTAATGAAGCCTGGATTATTCTCTCTCTGATTCTTGACTGAAGAACTCCACACCTCTGTTTTTTCTCTCTTTCTCCTTCCTCTTCCTCCCACCCAGAGGCAGAGCATCACAGTGTTGTCAAAGCTAGTCTTTGAAGACCTGGGGTTAGGAAACTCAGTCTCAGTCTTTTAAGTCTACGGGACTACAGGTGTCTTACCGTACCCAGCTTAGTTGGCCTGATTTACATAAGTTATTGAGAAACATGTGTGTGTGCATGGATGTATGTGTACATGTGTGGAGAGCTTTTGGGGATGCTTGGCAGAAATCTGACATTGGCCAAGAACCAGGAAATGGGCTTTAGGCAGAAATCTGACATTGGGCCATGATAAGGAAGTAATTTCAGTCAGGAATCCAAGTCTTAGGCTAAAACAAAGAAGTAGGCCTCAGGCTTGAATATGACTGTGGGCTAGGACAGGGAAGTAGGCTCAGATATTTTTGTCATCCTGATGAGCCCTTAGAAACAGCAATCATGGGGTGCATTTTATGTGCAATATACTCTGTATATTGCCTTGTTTGTTCCTTGACTGTTTCTATTGTATTGTTGGTTCCTCAATCTAGAACTGACCTAAATACTTAAATGAAATAAAAAGGGTTTAAAAGAAATGTGGGATTAAACAAACCTGCCTTAGCCTTCAGCCTCAGAACTGGCTGGAGTCATGCTGCAATTTTGTCTAACCGTCTCTTTTCTTTTAATCCTCACTCCTGTGCTGGAGAACCTGTTGACTGACTGAGCGGGCTTGGTCATATATGAATGTATATGTGCATATATCTAACTAGCCTAAAATAAATTCAAATGTTGACACACAGGGAATTTCAAATTCCTGAGAGAAAAGTGGGCTGACGTGTGAACAGTGTTACAATAATTTCTAGCCACTGCAAAGATGAAAGCTACTCCCAACGTCCCACGTTTTTTTTTTTTTAAGAGCTAAAAACATATTAAAATTAGACTAGAGACCATTGTTAGAATGTTGGAAAAGAGGATTACTTCCCTCTGACAGAAAATTTTAACACTTTTTTAGACAAAAGGCACATAAATAAGGTTAGAAAATGATTCCATTACATACCCTAGACAAATGAGTAAGATAAAAGCAGTTACTACAAATCATTTTTATGAAGTGGCAAACGATGTGAATGGGCCATCCACAAAGGAGAAATAGCCATGGTTCACGAGAGAAGTAATTGGGGAAATGCAAATTAAAACAAGGAAATATCAACTTTCCATCCATCGAGCAGGCACAATGATAAAACCTTAGATAGTATTAATCATTGGCTGGAATACATAAAAAGAGTTCTTGAAACACAGCCAAGTGTAAATGTAGTTTCCAGTGGCTCCATATCATAATTCCAGCCATTACTGTGGACAGTCAATGCCAGGCACACAAAGGGGCATTCACAAAGAAGGCCAGTGGTTCTGGTGTTAGTAGTAACAGATCATGAACTATCTGTCTACCAGTAAGACTGGGGTAAACAAATCAAGGCAAATCCAAGCTGCCCAACACTGAGCAAGCATCCACAGTCACTCAGGAGGTCTTAGGAGGCTGGGCTTGTGACTCAGTGGAAGGCTGCTTGCCTAGCAGATCTGAGGCTCTGGGTTTGATTCTTTGCACGAAAGAAGAAAAGAAGAAAGAAAGAAAGAAAGAAAGAAAGAAAGAAAGAAAGAAAGAAAGAAAGAAAGGAAGGAGGGAAGGAGGAGGGAGGGAGGGAAGGAAGGAAGGAAGGAAGG